CCATTTGATGTGAAGCTGACTTGGCATTTTTGATGATTTGAGAGAGTAGAGAGTCGTCGTTTTTTTTTTGTTGGAGGAGGAGTATCCGAGAATGATTTTGAGAGTAAATAGCATGCAGACCACTCTCCCCCTCATGACAATCCGATGAATCGGAACGTCATGCCTTTATTCTTTTATTCTGGGAAATAAAATAGAAAGACAGACAAAAAGGTTAAATGATAAAAACCAGATACACTGAGGTGTTCCTTTAACACAACATTTGTAAGGAATAAATGTATTTAGATTTTGATGATGCGAGGTTAATTAGAATTTGAAAGTACCCCTTTAGAAATTTTGTATTAGAATTTTCTTTGTAAGTATTAGCATAGTCGTCATGCCAGAGACCCTCTTGGACTCTCTCATCAGAGTTGCTACCAGAGTTGCTCTTCAGAGAAGCTACCAGAGTTGGGTACCAGAGTTGGCATCAGAGACAGACTTCAGAGCTGTAACCAGAGAGCCTCACCAGACTTGCTGGTACTTAGCAGAATTCGAAGACTCATTCCAACGGCCGTGAAACTAACGAGAAATTCTCTAACGGCTAGGAACCATTCGACGGAACTTAGTATTGTACACGCATTTAATGCTCAATTAATGCGGTACGTACGAAGAGATATTTAAAGCTGATGATTGACCATGCGTATATCCTTTCGCCCCCAAAATAGCAAATCGAAGAACCAACCGGTCAAATCAACAGTACAAGCATTAAATGAAGCTGTCTTCTACACTCCAACGGGATGACCGCTCCCAGTATATAAGATACACTTCGAAGAACTACAAGGATAACTTTGCTCAACTTTAGCTCACACTACAACATTTGAATTCAAGCTTTCTTGAGACCACACTTCATCTCTATCAGCAAGAAAAGCTTTCGTTGGAAGATATTATTCTCATATCCTCTCATCCAACAAAGAGCAAAGTTCCTCCAGTTCTTCAACACTTCGAAAGCCTCATCTACACATCCTTTGTGAAGAAGTTACGTTGGAGAAAACTGATTTTCAATCAAACACTTCTTGAAAAAGAAGGGACGTCTCAAACTAATTGGAGTAGTGAAGTGGAGATACTTCAAGGAGACTCAGTGAAACGAGACCAGCCATCAGGAAGCAAGGACTGCATCCCGGGTGGCAACTAGGCTTGAAAAAGACGTGGAGTGCTTCTTAAGTGCTAGGGACTAAGGCGTTGTAAACTGTCGTTTTTACAAGCTTAGTGGAACAGTGAATTAGAGGAACACGTTGTTCCTTGAACCTCTATAAACCCCCGGTGTCATTTACTTTACGCTTTTACTTTCAGTACTTAAGATTCTAATTGTTTAACTCAAAAGGTTGGACTCTGTGTTCAGCATATCTCCCTTAAGAGTTAACAGAAAAGCATTTACCTTAGTGTTTTTCCTGAGGCTACCCGGACAGAACCTAATTCGCTGCCAGGTCCAGTTCTTTTACCAGAACTCGACCTTCTCTGTCACCAGAACCAGACCTTCTCTGGTAAAGTCAAAGTTGACTTAGAGAAAAAGTTTGAAAAACCTGAACAGTCTATTCACCCCTCTCTAGACTGTTCCCATTATAAACGGGACCAACAGTTAATTATATTTACTTCACCTCATTTTAAAATAAAAACAGTTTTGTTTGTATAAAATCTAATTTTGTATTTATTCATATGCCACTTTACTAAACTTTAGACGAACATTTTTTTTATTTATTACTTCACCTCATTTTTAGTAAACTTTATATAAAATCAAATTTTATACATTCTATAAAAACAAGTTTTTTATTAAACAGTTTTTTATTAAACTATTTTTTATAAAACCGTGTTTATAACAAATTAGCAATGCCAAGTCCTTTTTATCTTTGAATTAAATGTCATATAAGTTGTTCATCTTAGTTTTTAAAGTAAATAATTCAATCCCAAAACCCTCTTTTTTTATTTACTAGTTTCATAAGAAGAGAATTATTCCTTTCCCTGTGGATACGAACTCTACTACGCTATACTATGTATAAGTGTTAGTATTGAAAATTATTTTGACGCACCGTGACAAAGTGCATCATCAAATTTGGCGCCGTTGCCGGGGAGAGGCAAATATTTTTCTTTTTATTTTATTTCAAAAATAAAAAATAAAAAAATAAAAATAAAAAAATATAAAAAAAATACCTTTTCTATTTTCTGAGCTTACATGAGTAAATGGATACCAACACATCATCGCTAGAGAGTCAAATTTCTAGATTGACTTTTTTAGTAAAAGAGTTTCTCTTATGCTCAAAAGTTCAAGATATCAAGACCTGCAACATTTGCATATCACAAAGGCATCTTACGGATTTTTGCCCAAAGCTTCAAGAAGAATACCTTGAACAGAGTAATGATGTTGGTTTCCAAGAGAGGAATGATTTATTCTCCAACACATATAACCCATACTCAAGTTCTTATTCCAACATGTCCTCTGAAGACATTATCCGAGCTCTCACTATCAATGTGACAAAAATGAAACAAGATATGTCACAATACCCGCAAAAAATAGTGCTCAAAGAACTGAACTTGGAGAATCAAATAAAACAAATGCCAAGCGTTGTGAACTACATCCACGAGGAGGAGGAAGAAGAGGAGCCTGCAGAAAAAGCTCAACCGGAGGAGGAACCTCAAAACTCAACTCCACCACCGGCCATTCCTGAGACAATGCCACCATTTCCTGAGGCTCTAAGGGAAAGACAAAGGGTAGAGGAAGTCAAAGACGAAATTTTCAATGAATGTGAGGGTAATTCAAATGTACTTGTAATGGTCGCGAATAAACCGAGAAAGTATCATTTGGATTTATTTTCATTCACAAATATGCAGGAAATGACAGTGGAGTTAAGTAAACATTTGATACCCCCTCTTATGCCACCAAGATCAAAACCCTTTCCATTGACCATGCTAATCGGTACAAATTTTCCCTCACTCTTACAACATAAAGCAATAGGAATCCGGATATTTGATCCTGGAAAGATTGTCAAAATGGGTGGTCGGCGAATTGAGCGCTTCTATAAGAGTCACCGAGCAGCTTTCTCCTTGGTTTTCAGGAGTTCCATTTAAAGACAACAGAGTGGGCTATGCAGCAGAAATCAACAACTTCTTCCAATGTTGTTTCCAATAGTACCAATAAGGTAGATTTTTTCAAAAGATTTGTCTACGTAGTTATCTCTAGCATGTGGAACTCAATTAAGTGTTGAGGCTCCTTCAAGGTTGAAACAGCCTGCCTTCATAACTTCAAAGGTTTCACTTATTCCCTATCGTTTCTAAAGGTCTCTTTCGATGAAAGGTTTTAGAGAGGTTGATCTATATCTTCATGTGTTTGAGATTTTATAAAAACTAAAAGATTAACATAACATGGAATAGAGTTTCAATCACGTTTTATTAGTTTTTAGAAACATTCTATGTATCAAGGTACTGTCCAAACTTTCCAAAGCTTCCCCCCTTGAAACCCTAAAACCGAACAGACCCTAGAGAAGTTGTTAGCTTTGATATTTTCTAATGTACGATGGTTATTTGATTGAGCTACTTTTTCTTGGTACAAGGGTTCTAAAGAAAATGGATGGGCATACTTCCAACAAAACTGTGAGGTAAGCTGTTGTACCAGGGTAAATTGCTTTGCTTCTTTCAAAGTTTTTCTTGTGTTCCATTTCCATGATGTATATCCCAGCCAAATGTTAATATGTCTAATTTTATATATTAGTGTGCAAAAAGGTGGAAGAGAAACAAATGTAGACCATGAGATCTTGCCTTTTTTGATTTCTTTTTTCATTCTAAATGTATGCAGTTAGTACATGGAAGCTATCTTTTCTCACAAACTCAGGAATATAACAGTTGGTACATGGAAGCTACTTTTTTCATTCTTGCTTTCTGGAAACACACTTGCAACAAGGAATATATGGTTGAATCAAGTGGAGATAAGTGAATGAGTCTTGGCCTAGCGTGTGTAGAAGTAACGTTACTTGATCGGCCGTGATCGACACACATGGATCAAGAGTCTGCACAAGCTTATTAAGATTAGTATGGAGTAGTACTACATAATACTACTGTTTAGTTTTAAAAGAAACAAAATTTGTGATGTATTTATTATGAATTTTGGTGTTGTATTACTTAATTCTTGCAATTATGATTTTGATTTTGTGTCAATGAAATATTGGATTGTAGAAATGAATTGTTTCTTATTTTTGAAATAAGATATACGGAGTATTTTGATTAAAAAATCAACTTTATAAATTTGGGTGGCATTGTAAAACAAAACAAAATATTATGCAAATAGTATCGTGAGTTTTCGCTGCGGTCATTTATCTATTTGCTGCGGTTCAGAACCGCAGCAAATAGCAAAAAATAACCGCAGCAAATAGCTATTTTTCTAGTAGTGGTGTGAGCATTTGTTGGGTGTTCGCCCCCTTCTTCGGGCTGACCTTCAGGGGTCATCTCTGAGGATGTCATGGCTGAGAAAGCATTTCGCTGTTCTTCATGCGGATGCTGATGAGGTGATAATCCAGCAGCATGCAAGGGCATATATTTTGATGATGATGGGAGCTTCCATTTTCGCTGACAAGAGCGGAAATGAGATTCAGGAGGTGCTGCACTTGCCTATGCTAGAGAGGTTTGATGTAGCACGACAGTTCAGTTGGGGTAGTGCCGTGGTGGCTTATCTCTACAGACAGCTGTGTCACGACTGCCATAGAGAGAGCACAGATGTCGGAGGATTTTTGCTTCTTCTCCAGATTTAATTTGGTCATGGGAGTACATCCACATTGGGCGTCCCATTAGAGTGGCATACCATGGCATTGATGGACACCCAGTGCCTGATGAGCCTCCACGTCTCCTGGGACCACATCATGTATGGGGCGAGAATCCTCTGGGTTGTCGGTATGTTCTCAATTGTTTGAATTTATGTTATTGTATGTTGAATATAAATATATTAATAATATTCATATTAATATATGCTACATGAATGGTTAGATGGCTAATTGCTGATCCATGTCGCACATCATCGGCTTCTGGGCTCGGTGTGTACAGGGATGCGTTTGATCGGATGTTTGAGGATCAGGTATGGTGTGCGTAATATAACATTAACTATAATATGTATAGCAGAAATACTAATTTTGTATCTTTATGAAATAGATTACATGGATGCCCTATACAGCTGAGATGTTTGCAGAGTTGCCCCCCACTGGACGAGAGCATTCTCACATATGGCGAGCACGTGTGTCGTTGATATGTTTTGACATTGTTGAGCTTCATTTGCCTGATCGTGTATTGCAACAGTTTGGGTATGAGCAGGTCATTCCAGCACCTATCGACACATATGTAGAGCTTCATAGGTCGGATAGGCGTGGGAACCATATAGAGGATTGGGCACTCAGACATGTCAGATACGTCACTATGTGGGAGAGGCAAGCTGAGCTTGTTGTGACTGGGACACCAACATTAGTCCCATCTGTTTCGAGAGACTACATGGGATGGTATTACAGCATCACTCGTTTGTTTGTGTCTGCTTCGTTCAGACTCCCTACTCACCATTATCAGCCTAGCTCCTTGGCTTTGCATCTGACGACGAGTATATTACTAATTACTAAAGTAAGTCATATTCTTTAATTAACACTTTTATTTATCTCTAACTAATTGTAATTGTGTTTCATATTTCAGACACGAGCATTGCACGGTATATATCAGCGGGGCTACTGCCACATTGAGTGATACACATGACGTGGACATGTACGGTTAGGCTTTGACGGGCATTGCCTCGTTGTGTTCAGATGTGTTGGGGCGAGTTGACTACGGCCATCTTATACATATGCCCCCATCTCAGGATATGCCATCAACATCTAGTGCAGCGGCGACTTCATCATCCCAGACTCAGCATGAGAGAGTGGTTCTTCAACCACGTCAGCGGCGTAGACGTAGGCAACAACAACAACATCTTCATGATCAAGACAATCAAGAAGACCATGAGAACTTGTAGTTTGTCTTTTGTATTGGAGTTTTTCTTGTACACTAGATGTTGTAGGAAGAATTCACTTTATTTTACGTATTTCCACCTGTAAACTCTTTTATGATGTGTTGATGTGTTCAGTTATGAATATTAGATGACTATTGTGTTATGAATATTGAATTATCGTACTGTGTTTTACTGGTTATGAATCTACTAGTTTGTATCTTATTTGTGAAGGGTATGCATGCGGTGTTTTGTATGTTTTTGAGAGAAGGTGTTATGTATGTGTTTGTGAGCAGGTGTGTTGTATGTTTTGTAATGTGTTGTATCTCGTTTGTAACCCCTAAATAGGAGAAGGGAGGCCTTATTTATAGGAAACAGGTGAAATCAGACTGAAACTAGGGAACCCGGAGTCAGGCACAGCTCCAGGCACGTCGTGCCTCCCTGCCTGGCACGATCGTGCCTGGCTTCCAGTAGCTGGTTGCTTAGTTCAGATGCAGGGGGTAAGTCACCAAACGGTTGGGCAACTTATAAGTCGCCAAACCGGATGACGACTTATAAGTCGCCCAACCGTTTGGCGACTTACCCCGACCATGGTTAAATCCAACAGTACATCGGTAAATACTTTTAACCCAGCATTATTTTCGTAATTAATTAATTAGAATTAATTAAAAAAACTCCCAATTAGTGTGTCTGCAGCTATCATCATATTGCACTATTAATACAATTTGTATTATGTTTTCACTTTTTACAATATGTATGCATATACAAATTACTCATAAAACGAATTGCTTTGAGGAATAATTAATTTTATTTGCATTCAGACAATGTAGAGAACGATTGATTAATTATAATAAAAATACTTTACATTTGGTGTAAACGTTTGCACATTGTATTGCTCATTTTGCATAATTTTCTTTTTTGGTTGTCCTACTAATCTTTCACTTTCTTAAGTAAAGAATTTTTGGTTTCACTTAATTTTCTCTTTCACAAACCTCAAACACATAACTTTTATTTTACTAATTTACGAGTTGGTCAAATTTGGTCAAGTTTTAACGGAGAAAGGAAATATGAATGACGATATGAATGTTTTTAAAAAAATTCCAAAAAAAGAACAATAAGTCTTGGTGTACACCCTGGGTTACAGCCTGGGGTACACCATATATAAACCCTTTTTAAAATTTTACCCCATCTCCCACATCTCATGTGGCATTTGAGCTCCCAAAAAAAGCCGCCCTCCCTACCCTCCCTCTTCCACATTTATTTCCCGCTTCCCCACTCACCGCTTCCCATCCATCATATTCCGCTGCACTCCTCAAGCCACTTCCATCATTCTCCGCTTCTATTTTTCAGTTCCCAATTCAGGGTTGCGACGGTCGAAGGTGATGTACCCACTCATACGGTTGCGACGGTCGACGGTCTAAGGTTGGCGAGGTCGCGACGTTCAAAGCACAACAAGTTTCAGAAATGATGCGGACAAAACTTTCTGAGCTCAACGAACGGTAAGCCTCAATTTTTCCCATTTGTAATTTGATTTCTTGAAGAAGATGGTTAAAAGAATGTTAAGTTTGTCGTGTTTTATGGTCCAATGATGTTCATATATTGTTTTAGGGACAAAGACTTAGGTGGGACGGGCGGCGGACCTGTGGCACAAGGCGTTAATAAGGTTCCGACATTTGATGGTCAGGATGATTACAGCTTTGAAGGGGAAGGAAATAACAGGGGGAAGACGACCGCACATGTTGGAGGTATATTCTTCGACATACACAGACAACTTACATACTCAGTGTCGGTGTGTACCGACAACTAATGTCGTTGTGTACAGAGTAATGTCGGTATGTATAGACAAATGAAGAAATCCTCACTTTTTACGTGTTACAGATGATTATGAGTTGTCGGTGTAGTTCAATTTATGCTTGGGACCATCTAGCTACCACAAAAACATACCTTACCGACACTTTTTACGTTTCACAGAGAAAAGGTGTCGATGTAGTTCATTTAATGCATGGGACCTTCTGCCACAACATAAGACTGTACCGACACTTTGTACGTGTCACAGAAAAAAAGTGACGGTGTAGTTCAATTTTACATAAAAATCATATACATTTTACAGGTTTGCTCTACAAGACAATGATTGGCTTACAACAATGTACAATGAAAGACACCATTGGGTCCCTTGTTTTCTTAAACCAACATATTGAGCTGGAAGATGAAGCTCGGTGGGTATTTGACATTCTATCTTGAAGCCGAAGTCCTGGGTTTAGTTCCGGAAAGAAAAAGGCGGTCATGATGCGAACAAGCTTGTCCCACATGGTCCAACAGTACATTTGAAGTCATCCATTTGATTTTATTTTTGGGTTGAGATTTCAGTTGATCATTTTCGTGATTATGTTTAGATTTTGTTGAATTTATTGTTTAATGATGTTACTTGACACGTTAGTGTGATGTGTATGTGTATGAAAAATCGGAAGAATGGATCAATACTTGGTTTTGTTTGTGTTCGAATTGCAGTGTTTGTGTGGAAAAATGGTTTGACATAAAGTTGTCTGCGAGTATTTATGTACGAGTAGCAAAGTGTCTATGATATTGTTGTGTGAGTTACAACAAAAACTTGGTCAAGTGTTAAAACATTTTTACAAAACAATGTAAACAAGTGTAGTACTACACATAAAACTTATAGTGCCACACCCACAATTATATTAAACAAAACATATACACATTGTCATGAATTCATTACATTTAATTGGCCAAGTGTTAAAACATTTTATAAGTAAAAAACGAGCAATAGATGTCAATCGGCTTTCTTCTTCAAACGCCGGAGCTGACAAAGTTAACTATAAGAAGTGCACATAAAATAATGTCGATGTACACAGACAATTATACACTGCTTCACCGACACTTTGGTACATCGTACATGCACAAACACAAATGGACAATAGCAACACAAGCAAAACGTATCAACACACAATATAAACTTATGCTCTGCTTCTTCCACCATCCTCAATTGTGCCTTTTAACTTTCCTCATCATTATTTTTCTCAGAAGTAGGATCACAACTAACATGAAGCTCACATACAACCATATGAACGTTACAGACATATCATATGAAGCTCATAGACAACTATATGAACGTGTTCAAATTGTCTGTGCAACAATAGAATTTGTCTGTGTACTGATAGAAGTTGTCCGTGTAGTAATACAAGTTGTATGTGGGTCACAAAAGTATAAAAAATTAAAGGTGATTTGTGTTACATTACAACAAACTTAATGACATGTTCAAATCTAAAGCATCAACATATGCGGTCGCCACTTCATCTCCAACTTCAAGAACATTGACTTGCTTCTCATTTTTCTCGGGTCTTACCTAAATAAATACAACGTATGTGTTAGTGCAATTCATATATCTATGTACAAATGCTATCGATCACCCATTCTTTATATTTATTTGAACTTTTGTCAGTGCACACTGATCGGTTTGAACTTGCAAGTGTACAAGTGCCGATATAGTAATAAATTCCGGTAAAATACCGGGTCGAATCCACAAGGAAACGTTGTTTAATTCAAGTCCGAGAGTAGATAACTTTAAATGAAGAATTGAATAAAGTGCAGGGATTTTGATTTGTGTTTAATATTTTTGGCTTTTCACTCTTTTGCTTAAGAAGATCATCGTTAACTAATTTTAAGTTTAAGGTAAATGATAACAACAACTAAGGCTTCGGGAATCACTTAAATGCTTTAATAGGGTTGAATATTAGTTCTTTACCAATAATTATGAATACGATGTCGCTAATATATTCTCAACTCCGGTTAAGGCAGCGAGAGCGTGGTTTTCGTTACGTGTAAGTCCCGTTACGGCTTACATTCATCTACCGAAAACCCCGTTGAATATCAAGACATCACACCCGTATCATATAAGACCGGATATATTTCTATTCTCGGTACTATATATGTTTATCCTTTAGTGTTCATAGTTTAGACTTCAACGTTAATTGCAAGTATAAACTAAATTTAACATACTTCTATGTTGTACACCATAGTCATAAACAATCAATATATAAAGGATAAATCACAATTTATTGGTTTAGAACTTTTATCAAACACCTAGTGGGCATAGAAGTTCATCCCTAGTCTTAGCTAAGAAATTAGCCTCTAATGCTCATATTAATCACAATACAATAATAAATGTAATGGAACATGAAATTACAAAGGAAATAATACCTAAACACCAATGATTTCGGAGGATGAACTTCCCTCCTCAAGAACTTGAAGAAAATATCAAGAACAACAATATAAAAGCTAAGAATTAATCTATGGAATGGAATGTATTTGCATGATGAATTGAGGGGTTTATATAGGCTAAAGATTGGCATCTTTTAGTCTATTCGAACCCAACAATCAGATATGGAAGCAATATTTGATTAGCATTGAGGAAGATGAAGTTTTCCCATCAAAAATCGTCTAGCACGTTGCTGTGTTTTAGCAGAATCCGACCCAACCGGCGCCGGTTCTGGCTTGACCGGCGCCGGTCATGTGTATTTTTTTCGGAAAATAAAATCCAACCGGCGCCGGTTGGAGTGTGTCCGGCGCCGGTTACCGCGCCAAATTGTTTACTTCCTTTTTCTTCTCAACTTCGTGCCTCCGATTTATCCAGAAGTGCCGATTTTCGATCCCTTTTGACTTTTGACTCCTTTTTTGTTGCTCCTAGCCATATTCCACATTTTTGAACACTTTGGAATATTTACCTGTTTTCGCTCTATATTTTTGTGCGGATAAATATAGTTACCTATGTAAAACGTAAGTAATTATTGTGCTTATCACACACATACAATAATAACAACTAAACAGATATTATCGTTGGTGCACACAAACAATAATAACAACTAAAGAGGTATTACTTTCGGTGTGCACAGACAATATAAACAACTAAAGAGATATTACTTTCGGTGTACACAGACAATATGACAATAAAGAGATAATATCATACAACTATGTGGGATTGATTATATGATGTAGGCATATTAATTAAATTACTGCTTACAAATCTTAATATCCAAATTTTACATTATTCAAAGGCCTTTTACAGAAATTCTACTCGGGCCAAAAAAGTGTTAGGATCGGCCGTGCACAGAAAGTAATATGAAGGTCACAGATAACTCCTATGAAACTCACTGATAACTCTAACTCCAAACATGTTGGCAAACTAACACTTACAAATCAAATGGTTTCATCAATCTCCCACATTTGTATATAACTCACACAACAAACTTCAAAATATACACAAACAAACACCAACAATTCTATATCATAAATAACAATATGAATGACACAAACACCCCAAATGGCTTCAACAACCTGTCACTTTTGTATATAACTAACATAAAAAAACTCATAGGTAGTTCACCAATCTTACGTAACAACATTCATAGATACATTAACTCATTCATACATACAACATTCATTTTTGTAGGTATACATTAACTTAATGAGGATTTCTTCAGTTGTCTATACATACCAACACTACTCTGTACACAGTGACATTAGTTGTCGGTATACACTGACACTGAGTATGTAAGTTGTCTGTGTGTCGAAGAAATACCTCCAACATATGTGTTCATCCTCTTCCTGTTATTCCCTTCCCCGTCACAACTGTAATCATCCAGGCCGTCAAATATCGGAACTTCGTTGACGCCTTGTGTCACAAGTCCGTCACCCATATCGTCTAAGTCTTCGTCCCTAGCGTTGTTCAGACCACCATCTTCCTCGCTCACACCTCCACCATTTACGTCCTCCGTCGCAGCTCCATCTTCCATTCACAGGTAGGTGTCTTCCAAACCTCCTTCGTTTCCTGTTACTTCTCCATCCACAATCAAGTATGCTAGAAAATCATCGTGGAAAGAAAAGCGGGAAGAAGAGAACGAACAGAGAAGGATGAAAAGAAACGTGCGTGGAGAATGGGGAGGGGAGGGTTCTGCGATACGAGGAGTAAAGAAAGCGGTAAAAATTTGGCCTTATATATGTGTTGGTCCAAAATAGGACGCTCGTAGGCTTTTAGGAAAGCTACGTACGACACTCAAGCAAGAATTAGGAAAGTACGAATATGGAAAGTTAGCCAGAAATAGCATATCTGTATTTGAAATTCGAATTGCCTTTTATAGGCGATTACAAATGGTAACTGCCGAACATAATAATGACTAAATTAATTACAACATTAATACGGAATTAAACACATAATTAAGTCGCGCATTGATTGTTGGCCGTTACTCTTCCTGGCCGGCAGGTCAGCCTGGCTGGCAGGCTGGACGCTTGAGCTCCCTCCTGCTGGACTGGACGGTGGACTTCCCGCTAGGCTGGAGGAAGGCTTCTGACCGGGCTGGAGGCAGGCTCCCGGGTAGGCTGGAAGGCAGGCTCCCAGGTAAGCTGGAAGGCAGGCTCCCCGTTGGGCTGGAGGCAGGCTCCCACCTGGACTGGACCGCAGGCTCTCAGTTGGACTGGATCGCAGGCTCCCAGCGGGGTTGGTGGTCGGCAGGCTCCTGGCTAGGCTGGAAGGCAGGCTCCCCATTGGACTGGAAGGCAGGATCCCCACTGGGCTGGAAGGCACGCTCCCCGCTGGGCTGATCGACAGGCTCTCTTGGCTTCCGCTCCTTGATTGCCCTGATTGGTTGGGCCGACTCGAGTTCTAGGTTGCTGGGCTTGGGCCCGCTGGTCCAAGTTCGGGGCCTGGGCCGATTAGGCTCTGAGCCTGGTCCCATAACCCCATCATGGTGTACCCCATGTACATGGTTATTCGAGCCAGCATTATACGAGGAGTAAAGAAAGCGTGTGAAGTTTTTGAGCCAGCATTAGCAATTTAATTTGAATTATTCTGCTTGGATTGGAGGATGTACATCTACAAAATAGGTATATACGATAGTATATAAACAACTTTTTTCCATTTAATTTAGCATACAGAGTTGACCGGCAATACTCACTCTTTTTCTTGCACTCCACGAAACACTCCAGTCTGAACGAGCATTCTCCCACAGAGGCCGCGCCGGTGCCCTGCTAAGTCTAGTGTCTTCGTCTTCTCTATGACTCCATCTGTCTAAAACCCAGCACCGCAAACGATTTTGTCTGCACCCATAATCGCAAACAAGGTCAGAGATGCATCCGGCCATTTTATCAAGTATTGATAACCGGGGGATGTTTTGCTTTTGAGGAGTCTTTTGTGTATGTATATACATTCCAACTACTGCTATCTATGTATTGCTAGTTTTCGTTTCCCCATTGCTTCTATCAAAGGTTAGCTAGCTAGGCTAGTGTCTTTTCGAGCAAGCCTCATGATGCCAAGTTGGATTATCGTTCTATTCTAACAAAAAAAAATCGAGGTTTTGTGTTCTATTCTTCTCCCGGGTTATAATCTATCTAATGCCTAAGTTCCATTTTTCCATTTGTAATTGTAGATTGGATTTTGCCATTTATCTTCTTCCTGCTCTTGCCTTTGGGGTTTGATGGACATATGAGGGAGGGATTGCACTTATCCAAAACACACATTAAGTATATGTGTATTGGGATAGCAATTTTTCTATGACTAACCATTTGTTTCTTAGTGGCCTTGCTCTCTGATTTTTTTAGAACATGCCAAACTGCCTAGTCTGTTGCATGCTCAGACGCTTGTATATAATCTATCTATTATTCAGTTTTACATTCAAGAAGACGTTTAGATGCATGACTACTTCTGGATTACTTTGATTACATGAGTCACTCTTATCACATTTACCGACTGGCTTTCTTGTTTCAAAAGATGGCATACTAAGTTCAGGCAGTTCTGAGGATACCCGCAGCTACTCTCTAGTTTATAGCATATTCCTGTTCTTTTATTCTAGGCACCATTGCAATTGAAAGAGCATCATCTTTGGTTTAGTAACATATCACATTGTTTGGACTTGGGAAGTTTTTCAATATCAGTTGCCGAAGTTCTTTCTTACCAGAATATTCATTTGAAAAAAATCCTTATATAGGACTACACCATAGACAAAATGTGCATATAGGACCATCATTGTTTACTTCCTAAAATAGGACTTATTCAATCCTAATAGGGGAAGTTTTATACTTTTGATAGGATCAAATAAGTCCAATTTTGGAAATAAAACACATTTAGTCCTATTTGTGCATTTCATCCATGTTTTAGTCCTATTTAGAGCAATTTCTATATTCATTTAATGAAATCTGGATTTCTAAACAAGTTTATATCGATTTCGCGCATCCTGCTATCCAATGTCATGCATGTGACTCTTTTCAAATGAGATTCTTATCTATTTGCTATTCTAAACGATATTAGGATGCTTTCCAGTGTTAGATATGGGAACAACTAATGATAGAGATGAACGTGGTGGCTTACCTATGCTGTCTTCCAAAAATGGTTCCTTGTTTGTGCCTGCTCCACCTACATCCTTACATCCAGATGCAAAGCCAGAAGAACTTGACCAACCTAAACATTCTACTATGTCAAGGCCGGGGTTTGGACTTCTGTGTCAATCTACTTGCATATCATTTTAAAGTTTCTGTGAAGTGTCCCAATGAAACTTTTTGCCAGTACAGACAGTGTAAGTAATTTACTTCACTTTCATCCTAATTTGAGGATGCATGTTGTTGGGAGAAATTTATTAGAGAATGTTATGACAGGTTACTATTACTTGTCAGGACAACAAAGCTGTTAATGGCAGATGCATTCGGAGAAAAGTCATAAACTTTATCAAGCATATTCTTCTGAGTTTTCTGGGAAGAGGTTTGCATATGATGGAGAAAAATGCTTGTACAGCAGGGCCCCTAGAACAGAACAACATGAAGTATACTGTAGTTCTTGAAGAGGCTACCGGCAAAATGTAACTGTGTGGATTACTTCTCATTTCTTTGGCATAAGAGTATATGTCCATTGAGAAGTATGAGAATGAAAAACTTTGATGTTGAAACTTGAAACACTCTAGGTTAACGCAATCCAAGCTGTATTGTATCCTCTCCACCTTAAACCACTACACTTTTAAATTTTAAAATCCTTCATATGTTTGACAACTAGGGTAGCTCCACCTCTTTATATTGATCTTATTCGTGCATTATGCTCTTACACATGGACTGGTGGATTCCTTGGTGATTCTGTTAAAAGGCCCAAGGGCTCTTTACAACCAAGGAGGTTCATAGCTGAGATAACTTTTTCTGCCAAAATACCTTAGCTCGATATATCACGCCCCTGAAGGAGCTGACCCAGAACATGGTCCAAATGCACTGAGGGTCCTTGACGCTATACTGAGACAATGGGCAGCTAATAGGTAGCAATTTATTTCTTCACGTCATGTGTAACGTTTGTTTCAGCTACAAGTCTACAACATATCAAGATTTCAGTGCTTCCTACAAAGGTTGCCTCTTGGTTGGTCAGTCATTCTTTCATGATGACTCAAGAAACTGTACTGAAATTGGTGGGGGTGTAACTGGTGTAGAGGGTTCCATTATAGCTTTCGCACAACTCATGCTGGCTTGACCCTCAATATGGGGTTTTCCCTGAAACAACTTAGCATATGCATATCATAGTGGCAGAGAAGGTTAGATGTTTTCTGTGGCTGGTGATGAAAAATAAATTGCTTACAAATGTGGAAAGGGAGAAGCGACATATGGCTGATGATGCTTGCTGTCCAATATGTAACAATGCGGAAGAAACAGTGCTGCACATTCTTAGAGATTGTTCTTTCGCGGCTTCAGTTTGGAGGGCAATTGGCCTGGGGATAAATAGAATGGGTGAGGACATTTTAAACAGTTTTGATTGGATTTATAGCCACTGTGTTAACTCTAGAAGTGCTCCGGGCAGAAATCTGCAAGTTTCTAGATTTGCTTACACAGCCTGGTTGGTTTGAAAGACACGAAATGCGCTGATATTTGAGGGCATTTAACCAGATGTGCACTGCCTTGTGAAGACTGCCAAACTCTTAGCTGAAGAGTATACAATTGTTTGCTCTTGGAATCAAATTAAACAACAAAGAGTAGCTAAACCTATTAGATGGATTCCACCAGAAGTAGGTTGTTTGAAACTCAACTGTGATGGGTCTTGCTGGGGTAGGGATAAGGTGGACAGAGCTGGTGGTTTAATACGAAACCATAAAGGGGAATGGGTGAGTGGTTTTATGCTTACTATTGGTAAAACCAATAGCTTTAAGGCTGAGCCGTGGGGCCTTAGACGTGGGCTTCTGTTAGCTCAGGATCTAGATCTGAAGAAGGTAATTGTTGAAACTGATTCAGAAACCAATTCAGGCTCTGAAGAATAAAGATGGGCAGAATGCTAATAGTATGGGAGTAATTGTGCGGGATTGTCAGTAACTCTCGGCCGAAGAGAGATTTATTAAATTACAACATACCTTTCGTGAAGGGAATAAATGCGCAGACATTTTGGCGAATGCATCACACCAAGCGTGAAAAGGTTTGTCTATTTTTCAAGAAGCTCCTATTTGGGTGACACACTCCCTTTGGGAGGATACAAACGGGCTAGAGATTATTAGATTCTAGTTTTTGTTATTTTCCTTTCCAATGTATAAAAAATATCCTAGTTGTAGGCTTGTAGCTGCTGCTTTATTCAGAGGATGAGCTGTAACTGCTTTATTCATTATTGCAGATGTCTCTAACACCTGGAGCTGTAATTGACTTTTTGCTTGCAGACCAGAGCATAAAGGAGAGGCATTATATTATTGACTGGGATGACTGCAAGAATAATCAGTAGTGGATTTTAGCATTTCCCCCCTACGATTTTCCTACATGCTGATTAAAAGCTAATTTCTACAGGCAAAGAAAACATTAAGAAATATGAGGGTTAAAGCTAGGCATAACAACATGAAGTTCAAAATCATAGGGTTAAGTGAGCCACCTTGCCATAAGCAATTGCAAGTTTTTTTTAATCTTGCAGCATGTTTATTTTATGCTATCAACAGATGAACAGATCATGTTTTTGATGTGTGCCTTTGGCGTTAAAGCTTTTCCATGAAAAAGAAAAACGAAGGTGGTTCACATGATGACGGGGAGGTGATAAAGATCAGTGTTTGTGATTACTTCACTAAGCACCGCTGTGTAGAGCTCACATATTCTGCATTCATGCCATGTGTTGATGTTGGGAAGCCAAACAAGCCTATTTACCTTCCATTGGAGGTTTGGACAGTTCATTTTCATTATCCTTCTGATTTCCAATGAATAATTTACTTTCAGAATGCCATGCATGTTCTGAAAGTTCTCTCTTTCCTGACATAAATCTATGCACTTTGGTTTCTCTTCAAAGATACAAAAAGGCATTATCTTTCACACGGGCGTTGTTTGTTGAAAGTTCAAGGCAGAAGCCTCCAGCAAGAATTCAAGTTGTAATTGATGTGTGTAGTAGCAATATATAATTGTCCTTCTAGTTCTTGGACTTTCTTGGTTTATGCCTTACTCAACTTGCAGGCTATAAGAAACTATAGCTTTTATGATGAACCTGTTCTCGCTGCTTGCGAAATTTCAACTGAAAAGCAGCTTATTCAAGTTGAAGGAAGGGTCTTGGATGCACCAAAGGCAGTTTCTATGTCCTTATATAGATTGGTAATGGTGAAGATTGGTTTCCTTGTAATGGCAGGTGGAACTTGAAGAATAAGGTATTCTTTATTTTTGGGGCGAGTTGTCATATATGACCACACATTATATAAAAGTTACGAAGTGACAAATGATTCTTTTGTAGAAGAATCCAGAAAATATTAATTTATAATATTTTCAATTATTACAATTTCAGTTTTAACCGTTACATATCTTTGTAATTAGTATCATAATAATTATTCGCTCCCAATGATTGTATAAATACCATCATATGTTTGAGAATAAAGTATGCAGATGAGTCTGCAATTCTCTCTTCCTCTAAACTCTATTATGGTATCAGAGCAGTAAGAGCTCTCACTAGCCCCTCTTCCCCGCTACTACTTTGTGATAACAAAGGCGCTACAACTTCTTCAGCAAATCCGGTTTTCCATTCCAGGATGAAACATGTTGCCATTGATTTTCATTTTGTCCGACAACGCGTGCAACGTGGGCTTCTTCGAGTTCTTCACATCTCCTCTCATGATCAGTTAGCTGATGCTGTTACCAAATCACTCTCCAGGCACCGTCTTACTCTACTAAGAGACAAGCTCAGGATCCTTGGGAGTGACAGAATACCTGGCTTGCGGGGGCGTGTAGAAGAATCCAGAAAATATTAATTTATAATATTTTCAATTATTACAATTTCAGTTTTAACCGTTACCTATCTTTGTAATTAGTATCATAATAATTATTTAGGCTCCCAATGATTGTATAAATACCATCATATGTTTGAGAATAAAGTATGCAGTTGAGTCTGCAATTCTCTCTTCCTCTAAACTCTATTATGGTATCAGAGCAGTAAGAGCTCTCACCAGCCCCTCTTCCCCGCTACTACTTTGTGATAACAAAGGCGCTACAACTTCTTCAGCAAATCCGGTTTTCCATTTCAGGATGAAACATGTTGCCATTGATTTTCATTTTGTCCGACAACGCGTGCAACGTGGGCTTCTTCGAGTTCTTCACATCTCCTCTCATGATCAGTTAGCTGATGCTCTTACCAAATCACTCCCCAGGCACCGTTTTACTCTACTAAGAGACAAGCTCAGGATTCTTGGGAGTGACTGAAATACCTGGTTTGCGGGGGCGTGTAGAAGAATCCAGAAAATATTAATTTATAATATTTTCAATTATTACAATTTCAGTTTTAACCGTTACATATCTTTGTAATTAGTATCATAATAATTATTTAGGCTCCCAATGATTGTATAAATACCATCATATGTTTGAGAATAAAGTATGCAGTTGAGTGCATATCGATGTCCTAACCCCTCTACCCATGGCTAATGAAGAAAATACAGCCAGACAGACGGAGATTTAATCTCCAGGAACAAGGAGACCTCGAAAATCCGCTTGCTAAAACCTTGGCTACCCCTTCCAACAACCCCTTGATCCCTGATGGACTCATAATGCTTAACCCCAGTCAATTCCCCGAAAAATTAGACGGTTCTAATTACCTGGTTTGGCGTGACCAGGTTCTTGACCTTCTGTTTGAGTCAGACTTGAGCCAATATATCGAGGAGGAGACTACACTGCCACCAGAAAGCGATGCAACCGGCCGTCTCAGATGGAACCGGCAGGACAGACTCCTTCGCCACACCTTAGTCTCCTCCCTTAGCTCCGCTTGCAAGCCATTAATTGGCTCTGCACGCACTTATGCTGATGTCTGGAAGACACTTGAGCGGCTCTATGGGACTCGGTCACCTTCTGCAATTCGAAACCTCAAAGACCAGTTCCGACACATGCGGCGGGGAGATCAACCAGTGGGGGAGTACCTTCACAAACTTCGGACCCTAGCTGACGAACTGACGCTGACAGGATGACCGGTCGACGATGATGATTTCCTCATTCAAGCTCTGGAAGGACTCCGGCCAGAGTTCGAAGCAATGGCGAACTCCATCCAGACCTCAGGCGACACTTGATTTGGAACCATCCATACACTACTCGTAGGATACGAAGACAAGCTTCGACGGAAGGAGACGTTGAACTCCAATCCCGTGCTGACCGCTAATGCAGCTATCACGGATTTCACGGGGACGGGAGAGTCTCTTGCTTTAGCCGTTCGAAGGAATGCCAATGGTCCAAGAGAGAATTGCAGACTCAACTGCATACTTTATTCTCAAACATATGATGGTATTTATACAATCATTGGGAGCCTAAATAATTATTATGATACTAATTACAAAGATATGTAACGGTTAAAACTGAAATTGTAATAATTGAAAATATTATAAATTAATATTTTCTGGATTCTTCTACATCTCTCAATTTTTGCACTCCTTTTGAAAAGCTTTTTCAAAAACCACCTCATTACACAAAACTTGCTATTTTTGGGTGTCAATGCTTTATGTGGTTGCGTCCTTACACAACCCACAAATTAGAACCTCGATCCAAACCATGTATTTTTCTAGGATATTGTGATCAGCAGAGTGCATATCGATGTCTTGATCCCTCTACCCATGGCCAATGAAGAAAATACAGCCAGACACCCTATATTATCTTTTGCATATGTTTTCATTTATAGCAAATTTTGACACCCTCTCGGGTTGAGCGCTGGTCAGTTGTCAACTTTTCTGCATGATGTGATACAAGTCATCTTTGCAAGGAACAAAGGCATTGTATGTCCCTTGTAATTTAGTTCCATAATGCCATTGTTGTGTGATGCCATATGTTGTTTATTTGACATGGTTGGCATGCCAGCATATGGAAGGCCACACACGCTTGTTGAGGAAGATCCTGAGTATCAACTACCTGATCCTATAGTTCGAGTTGAAAAGATGTTTGAGTTGCTAATGTCCAAAATCCTTGCTCCCCCTCAGCTTCTTCTTTGTGTCTTGCCAGAGCACAAATGTTCAGATTTGTATGGTAATACAGTCTATTTCTGCACTTGTTTTTCTTCTTGAAAAATGCAAAATCTCATTAAGATTTCCTCTAATCAATATATCTGGGAACTTGGAAGAAAAAATGTTTGGTCAACTATGGGATCGTTACACAATGTGTATCACCAACAAAGATTATTGATAATTACCTTACTCATGTTCTTCTCAAAGTCAATGCTAAGGTAATTTTTAATCTATTATCAGTAACCCATCTTCTTTTTGGGGTTTTAATTAATTTAAAGCTTGGAGGAAGCAATTCATGGTTGGCAATAGAGAAAATACCTGGTAATCTGGTATACCTATAATTAAGGAGTTAAGGACACTCCCAAAATGATTTTGGGTATAGATGTGTCTCATGGATCTCTCAGGCAATCTAACGCTCCATCCGTGGCTGTGGTCCATCTCTTTTAGGACAATGATACACCGATAGCACAATACTAGTTAGAAAAATGTCTCCCTAATTTCTTACGTTTTTCTGTCTGCCAGGTGGTTGGATCCCGGTTTTGGCCGTTCATTTTGAAGTACCGGGCCGCTGTTCGAACTCAATCTTCTAAGGTAGAAATGGCTGAATACTTGAATCTTTCTCTATAAGACTTTAGCAGATGGTGAGGATGATGGTATCATGAGGTACAATTAAATTTGAAGTTATCTTGATTTTATTCTCTGTACATATGTTTACTTATGAGTTATGAAGATTTAAATAGGAATCTTTTTTCTTTCTAAAATGCATATGAACTGTGTTACAGAGAGCTGCCTGTGGACTTTTGTCAAACAAGCAATGGGAGTAAACCAGCTCAAATTATTGTTTTCAGGTATTCCACCATTTTAATTCTTAAAAGTATATCTCATCTTCATTTTTTATGGAACTTAATAGTGAAGTATGGTATTTTCTTCTCATTCCCATCTATAGAGTTAATTGTCTGTTGCATCCACGTTCTACTATGCTTGTATTTGCAGGCTTTAGTATTACTAATGACATGGCACAAAAATCTTTCTCAAGGATGGTGTTAGTGAATCACAATTTCGTCAAGTTCTAAACATCGAGTTGTATAAGATGATCAAGGTAATCTGTTTTTTCTGATCGCTCAATGGCACCACTCTCTGTAAACATCATAATTTATTTCAATCATCATATCTAACTTCACTTTTGATCATTCATTTGTTTGGTTGAATTACGTTCTCTCCCAAACTAGAAGAGACATGCCCTTGGGGTCCATTCAGAACTCAAACGATACTCTAGGGAAAGAAAAAAGGAAGGAAAATGTAACAATTGTTCAAATTTCAAACTCAATGTTTTTTTAATACTTGTTTAAACTCGTTATATATATATATATATACTACCTCCGTCCCGCTAGAAGGTTCCCGTGAACGGTTTACGATGCTTGACTGACGATAAAGCAACTTAATCCCTGTTCACACTCTGATTAGTTTTAGTAAATAAAATTAATATATTTAGAAACTACATTAAAACCACTACAAAGGCCGTAACAAAAATGTAAATTTGATAAAAATTTGATTTATAAAGTAAACGATTAAAAATGATTTAAGTTGATCATGCAAATAGTGGACGAGAACCTTCTAATGGGACGGAGGTAGTATATATTAGAGTAGTGTTCTGGTCCGGACTTCCGGACCAGACCCGCCGTCCGGCCGACGGCTTTTGGCCGCCTTCCCCGGTTGAATTTGTTGATGAAATTTTTATGGCATGTTCTTCATCAAGTCTAGTTTATCCACACAAAAATTCAGCTATAAAGTCAATCCGGAAGGTTGTCAAATGATTTTTTGAAATTAACTGCGCAAAAAAATACATATAAAACGCAGTTAAATTGCAAAAATCATTTGACGACCTTCCGGATTGAGTTTTTAGTTGATTTTTTTTGTGGATAAACTAGACTTGATTAAGAATATGCCATAAAAATTTCATCAACAAATTCCACCGGGAAGGCGGCCAAAAGCCGTCGGCCGGACGGCGGTTCTGGTCCGGTATTCCGGACCTGAACATTTGTCTATATATTATATTTCAATTATATACTGAGAAATGTAAACATCACTTACGGAAATTAAATTATTAATCATATTTCCTTTTCTTTCCATCGTTTCCGGTGGAGTCAAAGACTCACTATTTTTTGGCTAGAGATTATGATGGAATCAAGCAAAATAGCTCACTAAATTATCTTCGCTTTTTTGTTATGAAGTAATAGTCAATTCATATAATTTTTGACGTGATTTTCATCCTGGATCATCCGGAAACGGTATCTTTGTGCTTTAGTTTAGGGGTGGCTGTGTACATCTGACCCCCTTACCCCATCGTAGGTAGGAGTACCGTACTACCAACTGGGAGTGCAAGAGCTATTGTTCTGCTAGCGTGTCTGCAAAATGGTGCATCATCTTATTGTATCACAACTAATATATGTGAAGAATGCTGAACCTTTTCTTCACCAGGCATGCACGCATCTTAATGAGGTCAAAGTTCCCAAATTTACTGTGATTGTGGCCCAGAAGAATCACCACACAAGGTTATTCCAAGCTGGTGCCCCCGGTAATGTTCCGCCAGCTTTGTATTTTCTTACTATCATGCTACTGTTATTAAAGATTCAATGGAGTAAGTGACGAGTGTTGTAGGGAGAAATGTTCGTAGAGTTTCATTATCGAAAGCTCATATAAATAGGGATAGAGTAGGGTTTACAAGTACGGGCCAATAGGCCCATAATACATCATTTACATAGAAAAGCCCTAATACATATTCTATCTAAATGATAGCACACAACATAGATTTTCCTTCAACACTCCCCCTTGTGCTGAGTTGTAGATAGAATGTTGTATGTGTCTTGTTGCCTCTTCAAAACTCTGTCAAGTAACAAAAACCCTGTGGGAAAAAATAACCTTGACCGGAGAAAAAGGAGTATAGCATCAAGATAGGCTTCTTTCATTAAGTCTATATTTATTTGATCTTTGCTTTGATCATTAAAGTTTATAAGTATTGTTACCTCATTAAAAACCTTACCAAGTAACAAAACCCAGTAGGAAAAAATAAAACTTGGGTAAAGGAAAAGAGTGTAACGTAATCTAGTTGGGGTACTCCCCCTCAAGTCTACATCTACCCTTAATATTTACATTAATCAAGGGTGTTTGTAAAATATGTGCATTTCAATACTTGTCACATTAATTACCTTAGCGAAGGCACACAATAGATGAATATAATTCCTTTAATTCTCCCCCTGTGTGTCGAGCGTAGGGAATTTTCCCAAATTATTAACTTGCGAAGACGTTGCCAATGAACAAAACCCAATGAGAAAAAATAAACATCGGTCAAAAGAAAGTATGGTGCACTAATACCTACAAGTCAATTACTTTTGATTGCGATATAGTAATTATGTTCTTTCTTCAACATTGTTTTACTTTCGCAAAATTAAAATGTGGGATGGTGCATATTATGTTGTCTCATTAAAAAAAACCTTACCAAGTAACAAAACCCAATGGGAAAAAATAAACCTTGGTCAAAAGGGGAAAAGAAAAGGAGTACAACGCACCAATATAACTGATGATAAATAAGTATGTAAGGACTCCTCCTGAGTGCAACACATCAATAAGGATTCGATATCTACTTGATATATACTTTTATCAAGGTATTCCGTATATAACATCTTGGTTTCTTTCATGGTAAATATATACTCATTTAAGAAAGTATCGATGAGGTAAGGGGATATCCATCGGTAAAACTCAAATCACGTTATTTTGTATTAGAGTGATACTTTTGACATTTCCAATTCCTTTAGAAATATTATCATCATCAATCATTTAGTTAATTTATAAGGGATGGATAAAGATTACACCAATGGTTTCATATAGATATCAAAGTACATTCTTGATACTATTTCAATGATGATGTATTGGTCCTAAGCTATTTTCAGCTAACAGTTCTTGAGAATGTATTATTTGGTCGAATGTGTTTGTCAAAGTACAATCATGCGCATATTGCACTTTCATAGGGAATTCCTTCTCCCAATGATTTTCCAATAATGGATATATTTTTTAGCATCCATATTTCGACCAATCATGGGAGTGCTAACAGTTTACATTTATCCATGTTAATTAGCTTGAGAACCCTTTTGGATATATGCAACTGGTGAATTATTATTCAACCAACTCGGTGTTTTCAAAACAACCTGAGTTTCCCAAGATCCTTTATCTCAATAATGACTTTCAAGTATCTAGGATTTCTCATTTTCTTTAATATGAGTACATACCATGTCTATATCTTCGACATATAATGATACTTGAAAGGAAAGCATAATCTATCTTTCTCTATCCCTTTTCAGTCAAGTGGTCACTTAGACAGGTATGTCACCCTCCTCTGGATTGATTTAATCCAAATGTGAACGTTTCAATGTAAATATACAATGTAATTTAAAACCACTTGATTAAAGATAATAAAAAAAAAATACTTCATATACATCTCTTTAATGAAATTCTATTGAGACATTTAATATCCACAATCTTTAGCTGCATCTCCATTACTTTGGAGTCTACTTATAGATTAAGTAGTTGAACGTTTTTGTGTTCAAAATAGAGAAGTATAGCTTTTCATATTTGAATCCAGGGCGTTGTGAGAATAATTAGGACCTCATTATCTCAGAACACTTTCTAACAAAGAATTATTTCACGTCCTACAGGCTTTACACTTGGTTGATTAGCATTATCATACCAAATACCTGTCTCTTTGTCAAATATTAAATTTTATACCTGAATTACTTGTACGCATTTAGGCCAATATTCTCATTGCTTTCATATTGCAATAGATTATGGTTCGATATCATCGTGCTCTATGCTCCTTTGTGCAACTGTATAAATATATCGTCAGTATAAGTGTAAGGTCTATCATTCGACTCATACACACTCTCATTAACATTGAGATTTTAATTCTCTGAAATCATTTAAACTTTGGGGCGTCCCCCATTATAAATTCATGGACATGTTTAATCAGAGATAATCTCATGAGAGGAATTCATATGATGACGAGTATATTGGTTTGTGCCTTATCTACCCTCTACTACTTGGGGTGGATAATTAATCGAATCATGTGGCTTCCCTCTATTCCTTTAGAGAGCCACGGCCTCAACCACAACCCCACTGCTTGTGATTGCAATCTTTCTTCCTTTAGCATTGTTTCTTTTAATTTAAATTCAAGCCTTATAAATACGTTTGCAGCTAGTGTGTATAATCTGATTACTTAAATCATTTATGATACCACTTTAACTTCAATGTTACATTTTGAAGTCTAGGATTTATCATTGAGACAAAGTAGTGATGTACCATCATAATGATTTTGTCATTCAATTAGAGAGTTCTTTCTCTAATCTCCCCTAATGACAGGAAAATCAATTGTCTCATCAAAGTCATATCCCGCAAAGCGGTGTACACATTATTTGTTAAGGCTAGTAGCGGATTATTGTTGAGGATTCATATCCAACATAAACATCATTTTTCTTTTAAAACCGATTATAGTGCGTTGTGGGAGACGCAATAGGCACAACTATTTAACAACCACATATTCATAAGTAGAACATCTCAGGCTAATATCCAGTCACCAACTGGTATACATAAACGTGGTTGTCTAGTATCGATTTAAAAAAAATAAATGTGTAAGAGTGCTTGCATATTGCATAATCTCATACAAAAAATATTAGTGTGCGCATAATAGATATAATATTCATCACCAATATTCTTTTAGATGTGATTTTTACTGAGTTCTTATTTTTCACATGGGATGCGAGATGTTTTTCATTGATCTAGAAAAATATGCAATAATCATCAAATACTTTTGATGAGAACTGTCTAGCAGTAACAAGTCTTATAGACTTGATTGGTCGGGTGATGGACCCTTAAATAAATAAGTTTTGCTAGAAGTTTTGCAAATGCAACATTTTTATGTAACCGAAAAATAGATAGTATGAGTAAATTTCTACCAAAGCATAATTACTTAAATGGCCCGCATTTTGGTAGATATGTTCTCATGTGTCAAATTAAAAAAATGAGATATCTACATTTTTATATCCTTAGCATAGACAAATCTCGATTTCATTATTACTAAGGAGTAAACTTTAAGAAATAACTGACGTGCCTTCTACTATATCTGTAAGGCGTAACGAAAGGTAAATATTTCTTTTCGTACTTTAGAAGATTGATATTGCTTTCTATTTATCAATGCTAAAACCAACAATTTACATTGTGTTGGATCTCATTTCATCCTTTATTCGAATAATTAATAGCTTGAATGAGTTATTTCAAAGTTTGTATGAGTCAATGACCATTTTATCTCATAACCTGCTTAAATATGCATTTTCTTTTACATTTATTATCGCAATATAATATTTTTTTTTCTATCTCATTTTTATTATAGCGAATTTCTATGTGAAACCCATTGAGGGTAGCTCGATGGACATTGATGTTCTCACAATGTGAGGGTTCAAGGAAGCCCCACAAGGTGTATAAGGGACAAGTCTTTCTTGTTACTTTGACAAGAGCCCGCTCACAAGACATTGATCCACGACATGGTTCCTTCTAACGTGGTAATTTTAACGACTTCTAGATACATTTAGAGGTCGGAGATACAATTCTATTCATTTAGACATGAAATATTTAAATAGTTCATCACCCTTAATAAATGATAATAAGGAATTACTTCAATAAATAAACACTCATTCCTTAATTTATTGTGTATCACCAGAATAAGGTAAAACACCTATTTGTTATAGGTTGTACTAATTTACAAATGTCACTCATATACTTTAGAGTGCTATGACCTCAAGTCGAATGTGGTACATATCATTCTACTATTTTATGGATATATTCCTTTAATTTGTATCCATTCTTTTATGAATAAAATTCATAGATATGCATTTAATGAATTCAAATGCATAAACATCTCAAATATAATTTAAGATAAAACAATGAGATGTTAAATTAATTAAAAATCTCAAACGAATATAATTTATACCAAACTTTAAGACTTGAATAAAAGTCTAATTAGAATTAGTAATGTTCATATTTATAAAACTCATGAAAGGGTAAAATAAAAAATGGATAAACCCAACAATTAGAGAATGTTCTTATTCTCAAAATAGTAGACAATCATGAAACTTAATTTATATTCTCATGCAGTGATTCTCTTGTTCTTTAGAGATTCTACGAAGATAAAAACTAAAAGTATATTTTCAAGTTATATATATCCTGACGAGATAATCACATTTAATCCTCTTATATTAAGGGATTTACTTTAAAATTTATATTTTCAATTTTTTTTTTATTTGGAAATTTCTTTATCCAAATAACTCTTGGGAGGTCTCTTTATCCCAAAAAAAATATTGTAATTGCATTAAAAAAAAAAGACACAATAACAATAAACATCATTCACTAGTGCAAGCTAAAAGCTAGTTAGTTACATAATTATTTAATATATACTGGTGCATTAGTATATGTCTAGAGAAGTATGTGTAAAAATAGTTAATTTTTTTCTATCAAATTAAATAAGCTTTTGTGATTTGCTTTTCACAAAGTGTACCGGAGTAGCATTGAATTCTAAAATAAGCGTTGAATATACTCAAGTTCATTTGAGTGCATAATGTCAAACTCCGGTCAAATTGATTGGTCAATTAAATTTGTAGAGCCTTGTGTGGAGATTCTTTATCACACAAGTAATTAATATAGAAAACTGAATAATGGTACTCAAATCCGTCCGAGGCCAAAATGCCAAATACAAGTTGAGATGATCAACCATCTTAAAAAAAGTTACATGATCATGAGTACATTCATGAACTTGTGTAGTTCATATGATATAAAACAGAAATTTGTGTATAAACAAAATCGATTCTTTGTGTGAAAATTCTTTATCACAAAAAACTAATCATGAGGGTATGTCTCTTCGTAGACAATATTTTACAATGCATCGAAGTGAGGAGATATATATTCACCTGCTTAAAAAAATCATAGAGATTTTTATAGGATGTTATATGATGTTTTTAATATAGAAAGTATTAATATTGGTCTAATGAACGGATTAGGCATAAAATATAGTAATCTTACGTGATTATGGTTCCAACTATATGTAAGTGACATATAGCATTACGGAAAAATATAATCACATAATATGTATAAAATAATTAAAAAAGTTCATAATATGATTTTAATTCCAACTATATGTATCTAACATATAGCTTTACGGAAAGTATAATCATATGATCATATAAAATACATGAAAATAAGATTAATCGTGTGATCTTTGATTCCAACTATATGTATATGACATATAGTTTTACGAAAAAGTATGATCACAAGGATGTATAAAAACGAAGAGGGATGCATAATGTGATATTGATTCCAACTATATGATTATAACATATAGCATTACGGAATTATAATAAAAAATTGCATCTCTCTCTCTCAAAAAAATGGATGAACGAGGCATATCATCAAACACTTGGTGTGCAAGAAATGGATCTCAAAAAAATGACAACTTAATCTCAAAAAAAAATCAATGATGTTCATCACAATGGTAAACATGATGCAATAAATTATATACATAAGATTCTGCAATGATTTTTGAGTAAAAAAATACCTCAACAGAGATCCGGGAATTGATGAGTCGCAGCCGTTGGAAGGCGGCCAAGCGTGATTGAATTGCTGGCGGCTGGACTGCTGGAGGCGCGACTGAGCTAGTGGGAGGGGGCCTCCACGTTCTTTTGTCCTCTGCTTGCAATACCCACGAGCAATCTAAAACGCTGACTAAGAGGGGCGGCCTAAATAGATAACCGTTCACTGAATAACAAATTAAACTAAGAAAGGAAAGGAAGGATATCCATCTAAATAGATATCCATCTGTAATGGATAAACATATAGATCGATCATCTGCATCCATCTGTAATGGGAGCAACGTCTTTGTCCTTCCCATGAAGGTAGCCCCCGGCGTAATCCTTAATGTGGTTGGCGGTGTCCACAATCCTGCTCCGAGCATAGTCAACTGAGAAGGGCGTCTTCGTGGGGCGGCCAGCTGTTCCGGCTATGAGGGGCGGTGATGGCTTTGACCATCAAATACAGATCTGGCGATCCATTCTGGGCAAATAGAAGAAAGAAACGTCAAACTGCAGAAAGAAAATGCCGACTCAGAAAATACTTGGAGGACACCGGAGCCTGAATAGAGAAGAACGGAAAGAGTAAGAGAGAAGCTAGGGTTAGGGCATCGTGCTGGTGCTGATAACGTGTTGTAGGGAGAAATGTTCGTAGAGTTTCATTATCGAAAGCTCATATAAATAGGGATAGAGTAGGGTTTACAAGTACGAGCCAATAGGCCCATAATACATCATTTACATAGAAAAGCCTTAATACATATTCTATCTAAATGATAGCACACAACATAGATTTTCCTTCAGTAACGAGCACTTTGTCACGGTGCATCAAAATAAATTCAATACTAGCACTAATACGTAGTATAGCGTAGTAGAGTTCGTATCCACAAGGAAAAGAATAATTCTCTTTTTATGCAACTAGTAATTAAAAAGGAGGTTTTGAGTTTGAATGATTTAATTTAATTAAAAACTAAGATGAACAACCTATATGTGATTTAATTCAAAAATAAAAATGACTTGGCATCGCTACTTTCCACTTGTTGACATATTTTAGTCGATCATTGTTATATCTATAACTTATTCCCTCTCGAATACTCAATCGAGGAGTATATCCAATCATTGGTAGTTATTAACAACGACCGTTCATTAATAACCCTTAATATTAGTCAAGTATAGAACACCGTCATATACCGACTTGACAGTAGCATTTAATCTCTTAACTTCTTGATGAAATCAATTGAGATTGATAACCTCAAAACAACAGTTTCGGTTTAACCAACAAAATTAATCCCTCTTAAGTTTATTAACCACGACCGTGCATTAATAAACCGAAGTTACTTACTTGTGAAATCATCAACGATTAACAAGTGTATTCGTTGATCGATTCTAGTAATAATTAATATATGAAACAAAACTAGTTGATCCTTTAAGTAATGTTTAAAATATTAATATGAAATATGAATAGGAATTAATTAATATTCAATGAAGAATATTATTAAAGAAGATGAATTCTACTATAATTAATATCAAGATGTTAACTAATTGTCATCTTAGCAACACTCCCCAACATTAATATAGAGGAAGAAAATACTACTATAACTAATGTCAAGGTGTTAGCTAATTGTCATCTTAGCAACACTCCTCAACATTAATATAGAGATAGTATTAAGGAAAAAACTAATAATTAATATTCAAGGGAAAAAGTTAAGAAAATAACTCACAACTTTAATAATCAACAAGCTTCAAGAGCAACACCAAGAAATGAAAGTTTAGCTCCTCATTTGGAGACTAAACATATCTAGAAAAATATAAAGAAATGCTATTCTAAACTGAGCTTAAGAGTATGGAAGAAAAAACGATTAAAAGTGAAGGAAAATGAGGTTATTTATAGGTGTTTTCAACACCTATGGTCGGATACCCGGCCGGGTATTTGACATACCCGACCGGGTATTTGTCAAATCAAATCTTTTTCCCACGTTCTTGCGTTCTTCTGCACGTCTTTTTGTCCGAAATCACTTCATACCCGACCGGGTATATGGAATACCCGATCGGGTATTTGCTAGTTTCGCAGCAATATCCTTTTTTCACTTCATACCCGATAGGGTAAAGGCCATACCCGACCGGATTTTGTATAAAACTCAGGTTCCTTCATCCTTTTTGCTTCCAAATTTCTCCTAAACTTATAGCCTAACTAACTGCTTATAACATACGATTAAATGCTAAAAATACAATTACAATAAAATGAAACTAATGGCTACAAACTTCCCCAATAATAGTAAATAATCATCACAAACAATAATAAAAATGTATACTTATGTACTAACAACTAGTGCCTATCAGTAACCGAAGGTAAATGTGCTACTATCAAGCGGGTGCCCCCGGTAATGTTCCGCCAGCTTTGGTCTATCTCTATCTCATCAGGCACCATTGTGGACACTCAAATAGTGCATAAAAAAGTTACGACTTTTACACGTGCGCTCGCTCTCACCCAGTGATGAACTGATGATGGTATTTTGTTATCATCGCCCATCTTAGGATTGGTCTTGAACCTTGCTCGTTGGTGTTCGTTTTTCTTAATTCATTAAGAAATGTTAGAGTTGTAATTACATGGCCTTGTGTTTTAGTTTCACACCTAATTACTAAGACTCCAAGGAAACCATTAAGAAATGTTAGAGTTGTAATTACTTGACCTTTTGTTTAAGTTTGAGACCTAATCACTAAGGCTCCAAGGAAATGTTTTTCAAATAATCAAGGCCTCATTCTGCGTTGTTTTCTCTTTTAGTTTCCTATTTTCAGTAAAAGTAGTTTTCAGTTTTCCATGAGCAATTTTCATAATTAACAGAGTTATTTGTATGATTATTGTTAGTCCATCATAGATCATGTCCCTTTTAAGTTCAAACATCATAAAATAAAGATCAGAAATAACGTTAAGACAGAGTATATAACATAATATTTGAATCATGAAAACAGAAACCATGAAAAAGTTTGAGAAAAATGACCCTCCGCTTTAAAACATGGTAAAAAAGCGATGTCATTTTTCCCACCGGAAAGTAGAAAAAAACACCTTCTAAGACAACATTTTCCTTGAAACAATTGGGTCTAGATGGGGAAACACAGACTGACTGGGGGCGCCTCAGCCTGCACATTACCATGTCTTGTGTGATGAGATTGGCTTCTCCCCTGATGACTTGCAAAACCTTATACATCCTCTGTGTTATGTTTAAGCTGCTTTCTTACCTCCCCCTCCCCCTCCCCCTCCCCCAGTACATGTCTTTCTTTCCTCCCAACATGTGCTGCACCTTACTCACATGGCCATTATCTGCTTCAAAACTTTCAGGCACCAAAGGAGCACTATAGCCACCTCAATAGGTACAATTACTTTGGAAGTGGAAGAACATCTAGCATTCTAGTCATTGATTTAACCAGAAAAAACAAGAGCCCGGCGACCTATTTATATCTCATTTCTTTCTTTATGCAGTTGCACCTGTTTATTATGCTTACCTAGCCGCACCCCCAAGTGGGACAGTTCATCAACATTGATGGTCTCTCAGAAACTTCTTCAAGCGTGGTTCCCGAGTTCCCCAGGTTGCACGAAGAGGTTGAGGACTCAATGTTCTTCTGCTGAATTGGCTTCAAACTTTTGCTTTGTGTTCCTTGTTTGCTTGTTTTGCTGAATGATCGCTTTTTGAGCAGTTTTTTTAGTCATATACGAAAATAATTTTGACTGAAAATGGTAGGAATAGCCAGAAAATATATGCATAATGCATTGGTAAGATTTAAGTTTACATCAGAATACATATATAATGTTATGTAGAAACAAATCTTACTTGATACAAGATCGTACCCATTTCACATTCATGTTCCATTACTAAATCTACACTACAGCAAGTCTAAATAAGCAGTGGAAACATAAAAATTTAAAAAGAAGTGAAAAATTCTGGAAGATGAGAATGGGAACAACTTTTTTGGCGAATATTTATAAAATATTATTATATGTATATAATATATAAAATTAGGGATACCATCACTGATTGTTGATGCTCAATCAGAGGCGCAGGGCGGTGACCTTTAACTCGTTGGCAATGAAGTGGTCGGGGGAGGGAGGGGGCAGGTTGAGATCAAAGGGCAGGGGCTTTTTGGTAAACAGCGATGACGTGGTTTGGTCTTGATCTTCATCGTCTACCACCGTTGAAGAAGAATCGCAATCGCTGCGGCAATCGTCTAGCGGCGGAAGCTTTGGACGCGGTTGCTGTGTAGCAGGAACAGAGGGAGGGTGGGGCCCACTAGAGGACTCCACGGTGCTGCTGAGACTACTGCTGGCCGGCCTGGAATACGGAAAGCCTTGGAAGTGATTCTCGGTCGGGAGCGGAACAATCATATTGCCGCGGCTATTGTTATTGTTATTATTAATATTGTTATCGTGGCGGCCATGATCGGCGAAGCTGAAATTGGTTCTGGCTTTATGGCCGTGGAAGGTACGGGCGGCGTCGTCGTAGGCGCGGGCGGCTTCCTCGGCGGTGTTGAAGGTGCCGAGCCACACGCGGGCCTTCTTGGCCGGATCCCTTATCTCCGCGGCGAACCGACCCCATGGACGCTTCCTGACCCCACGGTAGCGAGGTGGATCGGCGGCGGCGGTTTCAGCTTGCAGTTGTTGTGGTGTCGCCGGAGTTTTCCGCTGGCGCATGGCCTTGGGGGAAAGAGGGGCGGAGATCTGAGACGGAACGGGGTAGGGATCGATGGATGAATCTGCCTCCGCGTCTGAACAGTGGATTCTCAAACATCGAATTCCATGGTTGGAGACGATTTCCTTCTCCTACTCGGTAGCGCAATTGATGTTGTTTATTGATGGTCGCAGGAATTGGAGAAACACGCTTCTTCTTCATTTCCTGCCTGGCATAATTAGGGATAATAATAATGAGGGTCGGAATCAGTCACGAATTGAGTGAAGTTTTTTTTAACGTTCACCTTAACCGTTACGACTCAATCATTTTATTCCATTTTAATATTTTTTTACTTGAATGAAAAAATAAATTACATTAAGCTGTGAATACATTATTTTTGTACATTTTCTGTGTACATTCATTCATATCTATCAAACCCGTCAATTTTCTATAAATGGATGATACATATGAATGTGTATCAAAAATAGGGGTGAACCAAAAATTCAAAACCCATCGACTAGAACTAAAACTGACTAATTCGTCCAGGATTTGGTTTTTGATTTATGCTTTTCAGGGTAAAAACTAAAAACCCAGCCAAATCAAAACTGGCCAACAAAACCCGGCCGAACCAAGCTACAATCGAACGAAATCGATACAAATAGATTGAAGTGATTCATGCTTTTTGGTCCGATTCTCGATTTAACCTATTCTAAAACTCGCTCCAACCAACTGTTGAAAAACTGAAATTGACCAAAATCGACCGACTAAAAGTCAAAATCGATCAAAACAGAACTGATAAAATCAAAACCGACATAACCGAACCGATGATTCGACGAACACCCCTATTCAAAAGAATATTGTGTTTCTGGTCAGTCGTCACCCTTACATTACTACTCCATGCTTATATATTTTTCTAGCTTTGAGATGAAATTTTGATGATGTGTAGGTTTATTAGGTCTAGTTTTGATCGTTGTATTATTATTATCTCGTATGTTAAAAGTCTAATCTAGTTTTAGATTAAATTAAACTTTAATAAATTTTAGGGTAATTATATTAAATAGGACTAAAAATGTTTGCATATTATAAAATAGGACTATCATGTTTTTATTACCAAAATAAGACTAATTATTGTCATGTTCTGATAGTACTAGACTTTAAACATTACAATATTTTCAAATTTAACAGTAATTACTCCTATTTTATGAATAAAAATATGACAATCCTATTTTAAAAATTTCAAATGTTTTATTCCTATTTCGGGAATTTTCTCTAAATTTTGATAGATATAAGACAAGTCATGCTCTATTAGTGACTAAACTAATAACGTTATGATGATAAAATTAATGAAGTTCACTTTTATCTAACAATATTTTTTTTATATGTAAGAATAATAGGAGTATATGCTTTCTTGGTCTTTGTGAGAGGGTCAATTGAATATGAGAAAAGCATGGCCTGAATGAAAACGGAACTCTATAATGGATTTCGAGTTGATATGTACACCAATATATGGACCCCCAAATGTGTTGTACTGCTTAAAACTGATCATATTATATCAAGTCCAATTCAATAAAGATTGTCATATATACACCTGGAGGATACTTCTCTAAATCCCCATTGGATGTTGAGAATAAACAATTGATAATTGATTTTTTACCTAAAATATAATTGAATTAAATTATAGATAAAAATGTGACTAAAACTATTATGAGTGTAATATCATGATAACTATATATATATATATATATATATATATATATATATATATATATATATATATATATATATATATATATATATATATATATATATATATATATATATATATATATATTGTATTATTAAACTTTATCATAGTATCAAAAAGTTTCATATATAATCACTACATATCACTACAAAAAACAAGACGATTGTCATGGATTTTGTCACGGACCGTAGTATAAAAAATCCGTGACAAAAAACTTTGTCACGGATTTTGTCACGGATATTTTACCGTATATTTTACGTAAAGTTTCATATATAATCACTACATATTTTACGTGACGTTTTAGACATCACAAACAATTGTCACGGATGACAATTCGTGACAAAGCTTTGTCACGGACTTGTCACAGATCAATCCCTGACAAAAAGGTCACATGACAAAGCTAAAAGATTCACTTTTATCACAGAAATCTGTCCGTGACAATGTTTGTCACGGACGAGGGGTAAATCGAATTTTGAAATTTTACGTTGTCACGGAATACGTCCGTGACAAAGTGGGCTGGAAGATTCAATTTTTTTTAAATTTTACAGGGTTGTCACGACATAGATCCGTGACAAAGTATTTTAAAAGAAATAATATATTTTGTCACGGAATACATCCGTGACAATCATTTTTGTATAAACAAATCATTTAAAGCATGATAAATAAAACGGCGGAATTATATAATTCGAATTAGTCACGGCCTATATCCGTGACAAACAACATATTACATTAAAAAAATTCCTACAACCAAATTAAATAATATAAATTCAAATTTAATGTACTACCTAGCTATTACAGATTCGGTGGGTCTTGATCAGAATTCAAATACGGAGTAGTTGAATTTCAAAATCCGTATTGGGTTGAGAGTTTGATTCATCGAATTGTCGGCCGCCGCTTCTCCCTCCGGGTGTATAATATGATTGGTCTTGATAACCATACGTAAAAGTCGGCATTTGAAAACCTTGGCTAGAATTGAAACCCATGATTCCCATGAATGGCATTTGAGGCTGCATTTGCTGCATAGGAGGCCGCCGTGTGGCAAAGAATTCATTCATTTGACTCCACATCTCATCCAGCTTTTCCCTTTCTCTCCTCGCGACTTCATTTCTGTTGATTATGAACTTTTGTTGATGACTAACCATAAACAGAAAAGAACACTATCCTTAGGTCCAAAACAAAAGACATTGCCTTGTCAATTCACTAAACCATACAGGTGGACCTTTGGATAGAACTACGATTGGGTCTATCAAGAACAAACTTTGTTCTGGTTGACATGAATAATTATCATGCTTGATAAAAGAATTGATTGATGTATGCCTGTATGCCTTGAGTATTATACACGTGGCACGTTTCTTAAATAAATGACTAAGCATTTACCTTAATGACTTGACCTATGTGCGTGTCACCTAAATAAATACTTTGCCACTATTATAATTGACCGGAACATTTATCTGTCCATAAAAGTCAGCTGGAAACTCTTTTGGTAAGGATACTTTTGTAGTGTGGCTTGCTAAGTAATATTTGGACGTTGCATATATATCTTGCCATTTTAATTTGATTACCATATTAATAAAGGTTGACCGAAGCTTTTCTAAAAAGAAATATTTTTTGTAGCTTGATTGCATAAATATTTTATTGCTACTTAAAGACCGTTGCGTGCCTACATGTTAAGTAAAGCAATATTACTTCCTTATATGATGACTCGTAATATCATGAATCAATCTATTCATGATTGAACGAATAAAGTGAAGCTACTGGAAGGAAAGAAATTCAAAATTATCAAGGCAAGTCTAACAAGCTTCAAAAGGAAAGAAGGATCCACGGACATCTTCTAGCCCATATATATATATATATATATATATATATATATATATATATATATATATATATATATATTCGAGGAAACAAGAGCAAGATGTATGCTTGACCGAGCAATTATAGAGAGAAATACTTATAAAGAATTATCAAGACCAAGACACCTCGACGTGCTCACAAAGTTCTGGATATAGTTTCTTTTCCCTTCTTTATTTTGTAACTAGATTTTGAGGTAAAGCTAAAGTGTAGCTTCCTCGAGTTGGGGTCGTGTGTGTGAGAGCTTTGTTGTAAAGCTGAGAGGCTCTCTACCCGCAAGGTAGAGATGCATAACTCTTCCTAGAGAGGATAGAGTTGGGGTGGCTCAAGGGTAGATTAGGAGAATTTACCTTGTAACCACAATGGGCTTTTTAGTGAAGTTGTTTAAAATTCCTCCGAGAGTGGTCGAGGTTTTTTAATCCCTTTGAGCCAAGGGATTTTTCCTCGTTAAATCCTTGTGCACTTTATTCTTTTGCAATTCCCTAAACCCCACACTAGAACTGTGCGAAAAACTGCCACGGTTCCACACACACACAATTCACCCCGCCCCCCTCTTGTGTTGCTAACCATTTCATCAATTGGTATCAGAGACGGTCTTCACCACATAAAGGGTAAAACTTTGGGAAGAGATTCGGCTGTATGAATACGGTTGAACGATTGGAAGAAGGATACTCGACTCAACGACCACCGTTGTTCAACGACAAATTTTACCAATTCTTGAAGAGTCGAATGAAGAGCTTCATCAAAGTTGAGAATTATCAGGTATGTAACGTATTTGAGACAGGTGATAACATTATTACTAAGGTGGACTCCGAAGGTAAGGTTGTCCCTAAACCCAAATCTGAATTCATTGCTGATGATTATCGTAAACTCGAGCATAATGCCTAAGCATTAAAAATATTTGATTTGTGGACTTGATCCGGCTGAGCACAACCGTGTTCTTGGATGCAAATCCGCAAAACAAATGTGGGATTTACTCGAGGTTACACATGAAGGTACCTCGCGTGTAAAAAGGTCCAAAATTGACATATTTATGCGGAAATACGAATTATTCGTAATGAAACCTAAAGAGTCAATTAGGGACGTGATTACATGTTTCACTAATATTATAAATGAGCTTTCAGCACTAGGGAAAGAGATTATTGTGGAAGATCAAGTAAGAAAAGTTATGAGAAGCTTGCCGTTCGCATGGAAGCCTAAAACTACGACAATAGAAGAAGCTAAAGATCTCTCCACCATGACTCTAGAAGACTTGACTGGCTCACTCATGACATATGAGTTAGGTCTACAAGAAGAACAAGATGCCGAAAATGTGAGGAAGGAGCGAAGAATAGATCTCAAGGCTTGAGAAGAAGAAGAATCCGAAAGTGAGTCGGAGGACGAAATGAGCATGTTTGTCAAGCAATTCCGAAAGATGTACCGAAAATTCAAAGGCATCCGGAATAAGCAAGCTAAGAAAGGCTTTCAATCTTTTAATAACCAAGGTTGTTTTGTTTGTGGGTCCTTTGAGCACAGGGCAAAAGATTGTCCTCAAAAGAAAAATGATAGAACCTACGACAAGAACAAGACCAGTTCTCACCGAAGGCCTAGTGAAGATAAAGGATTCAACCGAGACCTCAAAAAGACAATGATGGCAGCTTGGGGAGATTCATCGAATGATGATAAAGAAGAAGATGAAAAGAGCTCC